ATTCTTTGTGTTTATATATATATATTTATATTTATATGTTGATATATATATATATATATTTTATGATGTAATATATCTAAGAGGGTTTGTTATACTTTCCTTTGCTTTTGTTATTTGTTGTTTATTGTTGGTACTGCACAAACATTTTAATGCAGGAGGGAGAGCAGAAGTAATACAACTAATATATTTACATATTAAATATAAATATCTATAATATATATATATATATATATTATATATATATATATATGTGCATGCATTTTTGAGATAGATTCGGATATTATCGTATGATTAAATTCAACGTAACTAAAATCTTTTATTTATTTTTGTTTAATTGTTAATGTAATTATTTGTTAGTCTTTTAAATGTAGTGGGCTTGGATATGCATAAAAAGCAAATAATATATAATATATATACATTAAATAGAAGGATAAAGAGTAGCAGCTGCATCAATTTTTATGTATATGAGACAAAATAAATTTCTTTTTATTGCTTTTCTTCTGTATAAATAACATATATATGCATATATACATATATATACATACATATACATACATATACATACATATATATACATGTATATAATCTAGGTTTATTGTTTATATTCTTTTATTTTGTTGCTGCAGCCAGCGATACGCCTCCGCCTGTACACCTCAAGTAGATATTAAAGGGTTTAAATGTTTTTGCTTTTAAGAGAAGTAATAAGAGGAAAATAATAACAGTTTTTGCTTTTAATAACACTATTCAGGAGCACACAACGCCTAACGAACAATGCAAGAAAAAAATATGTCTATCACATGCATAATAGTACTATAAATAAAAATATTATTTCTTTGTTATTGTTGTCTATACAATTCGTCTATGGATTAGGGTTTAGAGTCAATAAGAAGATGAAAAATAAAGAGAAAAAAATATTAAGAAACCCTACAAAGCTAGCGACAGCTATAGCTGAGGTGTACGTACACCTCATGAAAGTTTAATTTCAACATTTTCAAGATTTTCATATTTAATATAAAATTCATAAACAAACAAAACAACGCTGAAAAGAAACTACATCCAATGTTTTGAGTTGATCTCATGGCTTCTCTTGAGGGCCCCTCAACAGCAGCAGCAGCAGCTGCTGCTGCTGCTGCTGCTGCACGCAGCTGCTGCAGCAACTCTTTTATAACACCCGTGAGTTTTACTACAAATCAGATCGAAATAAAAATATAATGTTTAATTGAGAAAAAGAATTAAAGGATCCCTACGAATGTGCTTTGCAGCAGCAGGAACAGCAAGCTGCTGCAGCAGTAGCTACAGCCGCTGCAGCAGGAGCAGCAAGCGGGTGTTTCGGTGTTTAATATTTGTGTCTTGCGAAGTATTTGAGTTGTCGTTTTGTATTTAATTTAGATTTTAGGTATTTGTTTGGCTGAGAGGGGAAGAACCTGCTGCTTGTCGCCCGCTGCCTGCGCAGCAGCAGCAGCAGCAGCAGCAGCAGCAGCTGCTGCAGCACCCGTTGCAGCTGCAGCTGTTCCGGACCCTGTTGGATTATCATTTCTTTTGAATTCGCTGAAACAATGAGGGCGAAAAGCGAGCGTGTCTACAAGCCAGGTGCTAAAGAGGTAATATATTATGTTGCTGTTGCTGCTGCTGCTGCTGCTGCTGCTGCACCTGCGCAGCAGCACCCAGCGGCAGCCGCGCGGGGCAATTCCGTCTTCTTTTTACTGTTTAAAATCACCCTTTTTGGTATTTCTGCTGTCTTTTTGAGATTTATTGACTCTTTTCTACCCTATAAAACAAACAAATCAAAGAACAACAGCGCGAGAGGTGTAGTTTGCTGCGCGCTGCGGCGGCCCCCGCTCCGCAGCTTTTCGGATTGCTGCAGCAGTTTCAGTGGTATATAGAGTTTATCTGTTGCTTTCTTTGTCTTTCTCGAGCCTTTTTACCCCCTATTAACCTCAGAAATGACTCAATAAACCCTAAACAGCAACACGCAGCAGCTACTGCGCTCCTGCTGCTGCATTGCTGCAGCGGAGCGCTACGTGGGGTTTGCCGTGGGGCTTACCTGCTGCTCTCCAGGCTGCAGCAGCAGCAGCTAGCCAAACATTAGAGCTGCTGCTGCCTTGCGGGGGCCCATCGCTAGCTGCAACGAGCAGGCGCCCCCCAACGGCTTCGTCTTGCTGCTGCTGCAGCGCAGCAGCAGCAAGACCAGGGTTGATTCTATTCCTTTTGTGGGGAGTTGGGGTGTATATACACCTCAGTGCCTGTGTTGTGTCTGCTTTTCTTTGGTTTGGGTTTGCATGCCTGTACGGCTTCTTGTTGCGGTGTGCATGAAGGTTTCCTGCTGCGGTTGTTGCAGCAGCAGCTGCTGCTGCAGTAACCATTGCCTGACGGTTTTGCTGCTGCTGCTGTTTGCTTCTGTCTTCTGCTGCTCAGGAGTGGCGCGTGGTGTATTGGATATATCCGCAGGAACGCGTAAAAAACAACAGAAAGCAGGTCTCCTTTTCTAGTTTGGTGAGGGGCCCCCTGCTGCTGCTGCTGCACTTGCTGCTGCTGCTGCTGCTGCTGCACTTGCTGCTGCTACTTCTGCTGCACCTGTTGTCGCTGCTACACCTGCTGCTATATGTTCTCCTGCTACTTCTGCTGCTATTGCTGTTTTTCTTTTCTCTGCTTCTGGCTGTTGCTTCTGCTTGTGGTGCTGCTGCTTTGTTGTATTTGCTGCTGCTGCATATGTTTATGCATTTGTATGTAATGCAGAAGTACGGCGACAGCACAGCGCAGCTGAAGGCGTGGGCTGTGATTCGATTTATTAATCATTTTGGCTGTGTTCCTGAAGATATAAAGAACCCTCCTTTGTCTCTGCCTCCTTGCTGCTCTTCTTGCTATCCTCATTGCTTAAAAGAGCACGTTATTAACTGCAGCAACTGCACAGATCCACCAACAGACAGACATCTCTTAGCACCTCCTCAAGTTGCTCCATTATCACCTTCATCTGCACCTTCCCTCTCTCCTGCTGCTCCTCCTGCTGCTGCTGCTGCTTCTCCTCTCCCCGCTATTGCAGGGCTCAGCAGCAGCAGCAGCAGCTGCTGCAGCAGCAGTAGTAGTAGTAGTAGCAGCAGCGCCAACAACGCAAGAGCGAGAGCTGCAGCAGCAGGTGCTGCTGCATCACCGGTAGAGACAGCTGCTGACTGCCTTCAGACTGCTTTGCGTAGCTGCCCTTCATCTGCTGCTTCTTCGTGGCTTAGAGAATCTGCTGCTGCGAGGCCTTCACAGCAGCAGCAGCACCAACTCCGACCCTCTCCAGGGGACACGCCTCTGCTATCGGAGGCGTCGCCCGATGTGGGGCTGCTAACAGCAGCAGGAAGCAGCAGCAGCAGCAGCAGCAGCAGCAGATTCGAGACGGCTTTAGGGGGAGACACAGATGGGGTACCTCCCTCTGTTGGTAGCTGCATGCAAGCCCTCAAGTTTCAGCCGCTGCCTCCTGCTGCAGTTGCTGCTGCTGCCTCGCCGCTGCCCTCTGAGAGTTTGTTTGCAGCAGCAGCTGCTGCAGCAGCTGAAGGGAAGAATGCTGCTGCTGCTGCTGCCTACGGCGGAGTCCTCGCAGGTGTGGGGTCCGCCCATTCGCACAGCGCAGCAGCAGCACCCTCATCAGCCCCAGCAGCAGCAGCAGCAGCATCGCCTATAGACGCTCGGTCAGGGCCTCCTGTGAAGCGCTATAGAACGGAGGAGAGTCTGCTGCAGGCGGAGCTGCAGCTGCAGCAGCAACTCTCAGCAGCAAGAAAGAGGCAGCAGCACGACTCCGTGGGGGGTGATGCAGCAGTGAATGGCGCCAGTGATTGGGTCTCTGCACGCAGCAGCAGCAGCAGCATCCCTGGGCTCCTTGTTGGAGGCACGCTGCTGCCGCAGCAAGCAGCAAAAGGCAGCAGCGGAGTGCAGCAGCCACCGCTGCATCTCCCCTCTTTCCCAAGTGAATTGAAGGTGGGGCTGCTGCAGCACGGCAGGTTGCTTCATGAGCAGCAGCAGCAGCAGCAATTCGGTTACCAGGCGGCCAATGCCAGACAGCAGCAAAGTCTGCTGCAGGGCATGCGGCTGTCGCTGCAGCAGCAGCTGCAGGAGGGCTGTGCTGGCGACCCCCAGCAGCAGCAGCAACACCAGCTGTCTTGTGAAGAGGAGAGCGAAGGAGGCTTGCCTCATGTTTACACTGCATACGCTGAGCAGCTGCTGCACGAAATTTTGTCGGAGTCCCCGTTGCCCCCAAAGGCAGCAGACAACAGCCCAGAGCAGCAGCAGCAGCAGCAACAGCAGCAGCAGCAGCAGCAGGAGGCTGTCAAGGGGGAAGAGGAGCAGCAGCAGGCGTCCGGTGCCGAGAGTGGAGCCCCTGCATCCGCTGCAACCTCCCCGCAAGTAGCAGCAGCAGCTCCAGCAGCAGCAGGAGCAGCAACAGCAGGAGCAGCAAATAGCGATGCTGACTTAGAAGGCAAAGCAGGCAGCAGCAGCAGAAGGCGTGGAGGTGTACATACACGTGCTCTGACCCGCGCCTTAACAAGTTCGCCTGTGGGGGGTTGTATCTCTGGGGGCGAAGGCAGCAGCAGTAGCAGCAGCAGCAGCAGCAGCGGTGGCGGCAATCAGCTGCTGCAGCAGCAGCTGCTGCGGTGGAGCTTAGCAGCAGCAGCAGCAGGCGGAGCAGAAGCACTCTGGTGCTGCTCAAACAGAGATCCATTTCAGCTGCGGCAAGGCACAGCCTACGGCAACACTCGAGATGCAGCAGCAGCAGCAAAGAGGCGCAATATGTTGACGAGGCAGATGCGTAGGCTTACTTCTGCTGCTTCTGCTGCTGCTGCTGCTGCTGCAGGCCCTCCTGAGTCGCTGGTCTCCCTCGGCCGCTCTTCAGCGGCTTCCACGGGTGCAGCAGCAGCAGCAGCAACTGCTGCTGCTTCTGTGAGCGACCGCGACGCTTACATGCACACGCACACTCACGGAGGGGGCAGCAGCAGCTGCAGCAGCAGCAGCAGCAGCGGTGCTGCTCTTATTGGAGTGCGCTCTCTAGGGCGCAGCATCAAACCCCCCGCTAGATTACTATGGCTTGCGAAGAAGCAGAGGTGGCGGCAGCAGCGAGAGGCTGCAGCACGTGTCAGTCTTGCAGCAGCAGATTTTGCTGCTGCTGCTCCTTTCGGCGTAGATTCGGCTTCCCAGGCTGCAGCAGCAGCGGCAGCTGCTGCTGCTGCTGACGGCTGCTGCAGCGCAACAGCACCCGGAGCCTGCGGAGGCACCATCTCTATCGGCAACCCTGACGCAGAAGAAGCAGCAGCATGTAGCAGCGATGAAGGCAGCAACTGGAGAGGCTGGACGCGACATAGACACCGCAGCAACAGCTCAGCAGCAGCAAAAGCAGCAGCAGCAGCTGCTGCTGCTGCTGCTGTTGCGCCTCTCGGAGGCGCAGCTGCCTATGAGGCCCTACAACTGCAGCTGCAGCAGCAACACAGGCAGCACCAGCAGCAACGCGCACAGCTGCTGCAGCAGCACCACCAAAAACTCCTCCTCCAGCAGCAGCAGCAACAGCAACGTTCACCGGCAGTGGCACCAGCAGCAGCGAATGACAGTGCACCTTCCTGCGCTGCCGCAGCAGCAGCAGCAACAACAGCAACAGCAAAAAGCTGTGTAGCAGCAGAAGCATCAGCAGCTCCAGCTGGAGCATCTCCAACACCAGCGGCCGCTGCAGCACCAGCAGCTGCAGCAGCAGCTTCAACTGCAGCAACTCTAGGGGGGCTTCCACCCCATCACGATGCACAGAGGCTGCGGAGGCAGCTGCAGCAACTGCAGCAAAAGGAGCTGCAGCGATTCTTGGCTTTGTCTCAGCAGCAGCCGCTGCAGAAGCAGCAGCAACTTGCAGCAGCAGCTGTGGCTGCTGCTGCTGCCAGTGCCTCGGCTGCTGCTGCAGGTGCGACGCCTGGGGGGCCTGCTCCCCAACAGCAGCAACAGCAACAGCAGCCGCAACCGCAGCCAGCAACAGCAGCAGCAGCAGCAGCTGCTGCTGCTGCTGCTGCTTGGCCGCATGCAAACGCACTTAAGCCGCAAGGCAGCTATCCATCGGGACTTCTGTTGCAGCAGCTGCTGCAGTTTGAGTCGCAGCAGCGGCGGCAGCAGGAAGCTGGAGACGGCAGCAGCGGGAGCTTACCCGCGCAGCAGCAACAACAACAGCAACAGCTGTTGCAGCGCCACAGGCAGCAGTTGTTGCAGCAGAAGCTGCTGCTGCAGCAGGGCAGCTGCAGCCCGCAGCAACTTCTCATGCTGTCAGGCCGGGCTCACTTGTTTGCCCAGGTAAAGGCAGCAGTTAATGCTGCAGCAGCAAAGGCTGCTGCGGCGTCGCTGCAGCAGAGCCAGCAGCAGCAGCAACAGCAGCAGCAGCAGCACAGCTTCCTGCAGCAGCACCTCCAAGGCATTCAGGGTCGTCTGCAGCAAACAGCGATAGCTGCTGCTCTCCAGTCTGCAGCATCAAGAGCAGCATCAGGCGCAGCAGCAGCAGCAGCAGCAGCCGTGCAGCAAGCACCAACAGTAGAACAGCAAGAAGAAATGGAGGACCCAGCAGCAGCAGCAGCTTCTGCATTTGCTGCAAGCGACGCTACTGGAGACGAACGCATAGTAGAGCACCAGAAGCAGTCGCAGCAGCAGCAGCAGCCGTCGCAGCAGCAGCCGCATCAGCAGGAGCAGCCCCCGCAACAGCAGCAGCAGGAACAGGCAACGCCGCAGGCGCAGGAGCGGCAGCAGCAACAGCAGCCGGAGCAGCAGCAACCGCAGCTGCAGGAACAACAGGAAGAGCAGCAGCAACAACAGGACCAAGCGCAACAGCAGCAACAGCAAGGGCAGCAAGAGCAGCAGCACGAGAAGCCGGAGCAGCAGCAGGAGAAGCAAGAGCAGCAGAAGGAGAAGCAAGAGCAGCAGCAGGAAAGGCAAGAGCAGCAAGAACATTGCCTTTTGCTGCCCTCAGCAGCAAAGACCACCACAGCAGAAGGCTGGGTTGGGCCCAGTGTATTGACTCCTCCTGCTGCAGCTTCTTCTGCCGCTGTTGCAGCAGCAGCAGCTGCTGCTGCTGCTGCTGGCGCTAAGAAAGCAGAAGAGGGAGAGGCAGCAGCAGCACAGACGGGGCAGGGTCGCTGCAGCTCCACAGCAACGACTTCTAGTGCAGCAGATCATACAGAAGACAGCAAAGCTAACGACCTTTCGTTGTTAAAGCAGCAGCAGCAGCAGCAGCAGCAGCAGTTGCTTTTGCTGCTGCTGCTGCAGCAAACCCCTGGCGCACAAGAAGCGCAGCAGAGACCCGCGGAACCTCAGAAGGAGCAGGAGCAGCAACAGGAGCAGCAGCAGGAAACGCAGCAACAGGATGCTCAACAGCAGGAGGTGCAACATCAGAAAGCGCCGCAGGAGCAGCAAGAGCAGCAGCAGCAACAACAGGCGGTACTGTCCGGTGCTGCAGTAGCTGAAGCTACAGCAGCAGCAAACAGCTGCTACAACGGCTGCACTTTGACAGGTTTAGTAGAGAGAGCAGAGACAACTGAAAATTTGCTGCTGCAGCAGCAGGGCCTCGCGTCTTCTGCTGAGGCTTACTGCTGCAGGGCAGAGCAGCTCCCTCCTGCAGCAACATCAGCATGAGAGCGGCATTAGGCTGCTGCAGCAGCAGCAGGAGCAACAACAACGCAAACGCTAGTGCTGCTGCTGCGGGTTTGGGCAGCAACGCGTCACTAAACACTCGGGTGCAGCGGTGCAGCAGCAGCAGCTGTTGCTGTTGCTGCTGCTGCTGCTGTGGGGCAGCAAAGATATGTTGAGGCGGAGGATCGGCGAGAACAGCAGCAGAAGATTTCTAGGGTCGGAGCAGCAAAGGTCTGCTTCAGTGCCCCGCATGGTGTACAGTCGCCTATTGCTGCTGAACAGTTGCAGCAATGATTGCTGCAGCAGCTCCTGCTGCATCTGCTGCTGCGGTTGCTGGCCGCCTTCCGCTGCAGGAGCAGCAGCGCGAAAGCAGTGAAGCCCGCAGCAGCAAATTGCATTTTTTAGGCCAAGTGGTATTTGTATTATTGCAATATGGGTTGTATCCTCCTGCAACTAACAGCAAACGAATGTATATATATATATATAAACAGATATACATAGAGGGGATAAGCTTATGTGGATTTTCATTGCTGTAGACCCGTCTTTACGTATGTGTTTATACATATAATATATATAATATATGTTACATATATTATGTATATTATAGATGTTATTTGCATTATTTATGTACATAGGGACAGATGAATGCTGTGGGTTGCTTTCGGTGCTGCTGAGGTGGTGTTGAATGGCAAATAATCTCTTTTTGTTTGTGAAGAGCGAAGATAGAGAAATAGAGAAAATAAAAGCAGAGGGATGTTTGCATGCAGCCAGTTAGGCCCCCAGCTCGGTGTATGTACACCGCAACATAGCCGCATTCATGCCCAATACAGACAACATCGAGTTATTATTGGCTGTTGTCTCTGACTGCGGCATTTGCATGCATTTGCATGCATTTGATTTTTGTCAGTATTTTGAACTATATATCTCTTGCTGCAGCAGAGCGCCTGTTGCTGTTGTGTCTTTGTCTGGGTTTGTTGAAGGTTGCTGCTTGCTTCCTCCTTAGAGTGTTGAAGAGAAACAGACAGATGAATCTGCATTGCGTTTGTGTTGTTGTTTCTGAGGGTAGTATTGAGGGATAATGTTCAAATCCATTTAAACTGAGGTGTACACACAGCTCAGCAGGAGAAGGCAATTCCTTCGGCTCCAGAGGCCTTAGACAAGTTTTAAGCCTTTAAGACGACGGCTTTGCCCTTTTGTTCCTTTGTTTTTAGTCCTAAGAGACAGTTTATTTGTTCAACTTGAAGAATAAACATACTACATTTCGCAAATGAAAATTCCTATTAAGAAAAACTATAGAAATAAATATACTGAAGTTCTAGTTTATTAAACTCTGCAAGTATCATATATATATACATATATTATATATATATATATATATTTCTCCTAACAAATATATTTAGCATGCATTATTTATGCTGAAGTTGATTCCATCTAGTGGGAGTTGGAGACACACTGATACTGCTCTTAAGAATTAGGAAGATATATTTAGCTGCTGAGCTACAAAGCAAACTTAAAAAAACTAGAAAAACGTTCGTTGCCTTCAAGAAAAAAAAACAATTTCACCTTTGTTGGCGCTGAAACACTGACAATACTCTTCTATTTTAAAAGAAATACCGCTTGTGGAGTTATTTCTGCGGTTACTATTATTATATATTCCCTAATATATTTGTTGCTCTCTTCTCAGAGTGCACTTATTCCTCAGGGTTGTTTTATTTTTAAATACTCCCCTTATTCAATTATTCAATTATGTATTTCTGCGCTATCTACCTGTGGAGTTAGTTGCGTGTAGGGTTTTGGGCTGGGTGAAGGTTGGGGCTGTCCTTGTCCTCTATTCCGTCTTGATTGAACTGCATGCCCCCTTCTTGACTCTGAAAGGAACGTTGCATATGTTTAAGGTTTAGGGTTTAGGATTTCGGGTTTGTGTTTGACTTCGGTGCCACGTCGTAGGCTAATCTCATACACCCCGCCTGCAGCCCTCAACCGTAAGCAAACCTAAGCAGCACTCTTTTAACTTCGCGGTGCTGCAATACCCTACACCTACTTAACTTCAAACCCTAAAGGGTGAATGTATGCCTCAAGCATCTCGTTTCATTCATAAGAAGTGAAGTCCCAATTAAACTCCTAGCCTTCATTCCCTACCCTGCCGACAGAGATACACATCTCGTTGTGCCTCTGCTCTTTTGAATTGTAGTGGGAGTTGTGATGCTTGCGTACAAGTGCACGCTCGCCTTTTCAATTGTTTCTGCATGCGTAATTGCATCAAGGATGTGTACAGACATCCCGCTTCAACCCCTAGGTTAATGGGGCAACTGGGGCTGTTTTTGGAAGTGTTGTTGATTCTGTTGCTTCTCTCCTCGTGGTTCGAAGAGGAGCAAAATAAAGAAAGTAAAAAGGAGCTGTTGTTCGCCCTGCTGTTGCACGGAGTTAACAGTAGACAGTTTCGTAGTTGGCCGTTGATTTGGGGCTCCTATTAGCAGGGAGTTGGGGAGAAGACCTGAAAAATTTCACAAATGCAGTTTTATTTTTGTGAATGTTGAATGATTTCCACGAGAAAGGGAGTGTCTAACGGTGAGCATCATCCCCATCCCCCCACGGGTATGGAAGCAACGTTTTTTTAGTAACACGTATTAGAGGCGTTCGGAGGGTGTTAAGCGGTGCAAATATGCTATAAAGAGATGAGTTAAATTCTTTTATTTTATTTGGTTGCATTAGTTAGTTATTTAGTTAGTTAGTAGAGCAGGGGGAAAGAAACAAGCCACAAGAAGAGGAGATGTGCCGACTAGACTTCGCTGCAGCCGTTCGAGTAGCGAACAGGCGGTGCAGCTGTGTGCAGCTCTCATTGTTCGCGCCGCCCGTGAATGTGTAAAATATTTCGAATAATAACAGCATTGTGTGTCAATAAGTGCATAATTAAAGTGGATTTAAACGGCTTTAGTTCTTAAACTCTTGAAAAATCTCGGGACGAGAGTCTTAAGAGAGTGCTCGCGCTACCCCCGCCAAACGAGTGACCCTGGCTTCTCTCTCTTTCCAGTGTTGATGAAAATGGATTCTTCTCTTTCTTCTCCAGAAGATCAAATGACGAATTATGTCCACGCAGGCGTTAGCCCAGATCCGCTCACGGGAGCCCTTCTCAAGCCGATATACCAGTCCACCACCTATGTGCAAGAAAGCGTTGAAAAGTACCTCCAAAAGGGATATTCCTATTCACGATCGGGAAACCCAACAGTCCGAGCCCTTGAAGAAAGAATGAAAACCGTTGAAGGAGGCGCGGATGCTGCTTGTTTCAGCACCGGCATGGCTGCCACTATCACAGTAAGCGCTTTCTCCCTGAATTCCTTAGCCTCTTTTACTTAATCTAGAAAAGCGGGATACGGGTAATAAGATTTCAGGAAACTCCTGCAGGTCTGTCTCACACAGGAGTTTAGCGGCGACGTGAGAATGAGGAGAGGAGCATACAGCTGTCTTGAATAATACGAATACCCTTTATTGATGTTAATAGCCAGTGATAATATCAAGGCTGTTGTTTACATTAATGTGTTTTGAACATCACGCAAGTTGATTGGTACCCATGTTGTTTCAGGTGCTGACGGCCTTCTTGAGCGCAGGAGACCACTGCATTATGCCGATTTGTTTGTACGGCGGATCATACCGTGCGGCAAATGAGTATGTGCGCCGTTTTGGGGTGGATTTTGACTTTGTAGATTTCAGAGAACCAGCACAAGTGGAGAGAGCCTTCAAACCTAACACGAAAATGGTCTTTGCTGAGACTCCTGCTAATCCCACGCTGCATTTGACAGACTTACAAGCGATCGATATGATCATCGCGAAGAAAGAACTCGACAAACTTAGAAACAAAAAGAAAGCTGAGGGCAGTACCGCATCAGTGGATGCAACAGCTACTAATAATTCGGATGAGGAATTGCTCAAGACCCTCTCTGGGGGGAAGCGGGAGAAAGAAAGGTCGGTTTTGTTTGTCGTTGACTCAACTTTCGCCACTCCCCATGTCCTGCACCCTTTTGAACACGGAGCAGATGTTGTTTTGCACTCCACCACCAAGTACTTCGACGGCCACAATATCACAACAGGGGGTGCTGCAATTAGTCGCTTTCTTAATGTGCACGACAAAATAGCCTACACAAGAAACATATGCGGCAGCATCATGGACCCTCAAACTGCGTTTTACACCTTAAACTCCAGCATGACGCTGCCCCTGAGGGTGCAACGACAAAGCGAAACGGCTAAAATAATTGCCCAGTTCCTTGAAAAACACCCTAAAGTTGAGCGCGTACTCTATCCAGGTTTGGACAGCCACCCTCAAAGAGAACTCGCTAAGAAGTATCACCGCAACGATGTCAACGGGGCAGTCATTGGCTTTGACGTCAAGGGAGGTATCGAAGCAGGTGCGTAACAGAATAAACAAAAGCAGTCAGGGGCATATATATATATATATATATGCAGATATGCAGATATGCAGATGTACATGCTACATTCGTGAGCATTCGCCACGAGATATGCATTGAGTAAGCAGTAAGCCTATACATATTTCCAGCCCTTAGGCGGGATATGCAGGCAGGTGGACGCAAGGATACTGCAGATAGTCAGTTTCTGCTCTTCACAGTGGTTTGGTTGGCTTGCTGTTGCGATCGACCAAGTTGGGGCTAGCTTTGGGAATTACTCTCACAGCATCGCTCATAGCATCCATAAGCTACCAAGCCACAAACTCAAAATAGTCAGATTTTCGATGTGATGCTGTGCTTGGGGAGTTCGTAATGGTGCATATATTTTTGGTCTCCTCTTGCGATGCGCTTTGAACAGGCAAAAGGCTTATGAATTCCATCGGCAAACCGTTCTCTCTCTGCGAGAATTTAGGCTCTGCTCAGTCGCTTATCACTTGCCCCGCTGTCTTTACTCACGCCCAACTTACAAAGGAACAGCGGCTTGCCATTGGCGTTACGGACGGTTACATTCGTCTTTCGATTGGCTTGGAGAGCCCTCAGGACCTTCTCCAGGCCCTTGACACAGCTCTGACAGATGTCCTGTAGTAGCGCTACGCTTAATTCTCTGCTTTCTATCTCTTTCGTCAGCACTATGGTATTGTAAATTGGCGCGAATTATGACACAAATACCGCTTATGTTATTTTTAATTCGGCAAAAGCCCGTCTCCCCAACTCTTTAGAACAGCCAACCGATCTTATTTTAACACTAGAATGAACAAAACTATTGCACAATTAGAACAACATCGGTAAAACGGTATGCAAGAACAAGGCACCCTTACGCAACCAACTGCTCCAGTTGACACTCGCCGGCGGAAAGTTAATTGGGAATTGCATGTTTGGAAGGCGAACCAGTAGCTGAAGCTCTGATGATGATCCTGCTGTTGCCGATAGGTATATCTACATATATATATATATATATATCCATATATATATATATATATATATATCTAAACAGATTGCCAGTGCTGCCATTGGGTACTTTTTGCATGTGCTTCTTGCTGCTTGGCAGCCCAAGCGTATGGCGTCACTATTGTAACTCGTCCTGCACACGCGCGAAACTGTGTCTGCCCCTATGATGCGCCAAAAGAGGATATTTAATCTCCCTCTTTCAGATTAAGAGCAAGGTGGGTGGAAGGTCCGGCATGCAATGCACTTGCCTTGCCTATCACACAAAAACCTTTCAAACAGTCACTTATCTCACCTACAATACTACAACGTATTGGCATGCCTCAATGGAAAACATGGGCATTTTTGGTTTTCACAGGGCCTTGCCCTGGTGGCGATGATGAGTAGCCGTCACCTGCAGCGGCGACTGCTCCAAGGAGTAATCTTTCGGATATGTCGGAGCCGGAGAAGTTGGCAAAAGAACAAAGGCACTGTCAGAGCATCCCTCGTGCCATCTGCATGCGGCACGAAGACTTCAGAAGAGAAGGCATGGCACCGAGCGCTCATGCACGTTTTGCAACACTTCGTTTCTGTTGCGTTTCAGCAAACATTTTCCTCCCCAGATGCGCCGGATTATATTTAAAACATCAAGTTATAACTGTAGGCTCATTGTCTCAGCCAAAGACTACTGCTTGTTTGTAGAGCAAGGCCGAGCACCCGCGAACGGCTCCGGGTCACTTGTGGGGCATGTCGGCACAACGAAAACACATTTTTCGGAAGCCTTCCGAGGCATATAACGTGGAATTTGTCTCTATTACACCAAACAATGTTTTGAATACCCGGATAGGCCCCTCTAAAGGCCTCGGATGCTGTTATTTAATCAGGGCCCCGTGCCCACGTGCCCAGCGACTCGGTGGCGTGCAATATGAACGCACCCAGGGAATGCGGGGCTGTTGTTTGTATTTTCTCAAGATGGCAGATTAGAGGCAGGCAAGTACTGCCTGGCGTTTCAAGGGGTCTTCTGTTCCACATGGCTTGCAGCCCGTTTGCAGTCGAGCGGAGGTGTGGACGGGCGAGAGGGAGAAAGCCGGCGCTCTTTAGCGGCAAAGGGCTTGAAATACGATTGAGACCAATAGCGCACACAGCTCCCTATCATTGGGCAGGCAATCGCTCTCAGCATTTATTCCTTGCAAGGTCTACCTCTATGACTACTGCCCCGTTTGGCTGTGGACTGAGTCTTGTATAGGGTGTATTGTTAGTGAAGGTCCACTGCAACCTTTTCCAGTTGCACACTCCCCAATAGAGAAGCGATGAAATAGCCTTCTTAGGTCAAGACCGAAACGCCACTCTCCGAAGGAGGCCGCATTCGACTCTGGTCTAGCGTTGAGCCGTCTTTTTTTTTGAAACTGCAATTCAAGCATGCACATAGAGCGGTGGCTGCTTGTGTCACACCGCACTTAGTGTATGAGTCAGATAATCGCCTTTGTCTCCTGAAACTCCAAATGGAAGTGCTCCTGTGTTGAATCTCTCAACTCCACGCCTTGCAGATGCCGCGTGCACAGAAAGTAGAGGCGTCAAAGAATTAGGGAGGTACTTCGCCTGAACTGCCATTTGAGCTGCCTTCTCCAGATTCTTCTTCTTGCCACCAGGCGACACATGGAGATTGAAGGCATTGTAACCCCCCACAGCTAGCTTGCGTATGGGAATCGTCCATCATGGCGGTCACGCCGCATGCTGAGAAGATATCGCTCGCGGAGGCCAAGGACCAGCGGAAGCAAGCTGAGCTTGATGCGCAGCTTTTGGCAAATCGCATTGCGCTCCTTCGGGTATCCCCAGTGCAAACCAAGAGTATATATTATCTCCTTTAGCTGAAATACAAAACCCTATTACAGAGAAGAGCGCTTCTGTGGACCCGCAGCGATGGACACCTTTTGCTGCTTGCACAAATAGTTCTGCGTGGTACTGCTGCGAAATCCTCCAGACACGTGGTTTGTATTTACCCCACTGGAAATAGC